AAGCAGTAGATTACGTGTCACAACAACGCTCCAAGCTACATAACGCATTTTAAAGCAATTTTTCATTGAAGTGATGAGCGCGTGCAAGCAGCTGCAAGTTTCAATAAAACAACAATTCAATCCGCGCTCTCGATTTGCCCTGCGACTGGACATTTTCTTGAAGGATTATTAGCTGGACACGATCAGGCTAAAGCTTCAAGATGAACAGACGATACCCAGCATCCTCTGCGTCTGTTAAAAGGATAGCAACAAGGTTTTGCGAATGTCTTTTTGCGTCACACAAACAAAAACAAAATCCGAAGGGACGCTCTTCGGCACGGTGTAATCGTGTAATTGTTTGCCAGATGAAGAAAAATTTGTCATAGAAGTGAAAAAGAGAATCTGCTAACAAGATTAATATGGATCTTAAACGCACAATTTTTTTTTTTTTTTTTTTTTTCACATTTGTCCAAGTTAGTGTATTTTCTTTCCAAAGAATTCAGAGTCGCTCGACACGCCTTGGGTTGGTATTATATGGTAGACGTCTAGAATTTTCACCGTCTTGGAAAAATAAAGATTAGCTAAATATCACTTAATTAACCCTAATTCGTGGTAATCGAATATAATTTAAGCCAGGAAAGAACAAGAGTCTATTTTCGCCGCAGCTTTACTGTTAAAGATCATCGGAGAAAATAATCGAATTCGCAACGGTGAAACAAAATAAAACAGCGATTTGATGCGAAGAAAGAAAATATAAACGTACAAGTTAACAGTATATTAAATTATTACCACCGTGGTTACAGTACCGTCGTTAAGGCATCTTGAGTACAGGCTTAGGGTTGAAAAGTAACGTTAAATATTTATGTTTTGAAGGAAGAAAAGAAGGAATACTTGTCACGTGAAAACAGGCTAGCTTATGAGAGGGCCTGGAATGCAGTATTCCAATTGTTTTTCTTCTTGCTAATTTCTTTTCAGTCAAATGCATTTCAAGGCATTTTTAAAGACTTCATTAGGCAGTGAATGAATTAAAATTGTTACAGTTAATATTTCACTATTCATTCAGTCCACTTGGTCCTAAATGTATTGAAAGCTATTGTCTAATGCTAGTGGGCCTAAAATAACGAACGGAAGGGCAGGCGCCGGTCCCGGTCAAATATATTTTTGCTTGGACACGATACATTTTGACTTGGCCGGTCAAATATTGAGACAATCTTGGCACTTGACCCACAACATGATGCTAAAAATATCAGGCAAACTACAGATACCAGAGACTAATAAAAGCTCGTAAAGCCCCTGCGAAAAGCAAGTCTATCGATGTAAAATTTGTAATGACAATTACAAGTAAAGAGTATAATTTCACACACTNTTTTTTTTTTTTTTTTTTCACACATCGGAACAAAGGTCCTTTAAAGACAAGAGACATCGTCTCTTGGAAAAGAGTGAGCTAGACTATTTTTTGAAAAAACAGATGCTTTTAGTATGAACCAATGTGTATAATATAGTTATAAAAATAGGTTTCAAACGTGAAATCTTGATTACTGTTTTCTGGCTGCTCGAGTTCGATATAGAGAATTTTAAGCTTTTGAAATTTCTTGAGTGATGATGAAGAACAGGAAAAAACCCGTC